ATTGTGTGTGTGTGTGTGTGTGTGTGTGTGTGTGTGTGTGTGTGTGTGTGTGTGTAATTATAATTTAATCATATTAAATAATAAATTTTGCCTTTATTTGTAACATTCAAATAATCTCATCATTAGTTTTGCATTTTCGTTTGATCTAAGCAGCTTTTGGCATAGGGAGTGACCTTGAAATTCCAAAAATATTTTCCAACTCATTTTTCATTTTCTTGATCTATAGATCTAGAGGATTGTAAATAATGCAACTTTAATTTTAAAATTTTTCTGTCACCATTTTGAAAATTTTTATTTTTAATCATATGGACTTTCAAATTCGATATTTATATATGTTTATTTAAGGTGAACATTTTGGCACAAGTGTGACTGAAATTCCAAAAATATTTTCAAATCTTATTTTAACAGTTTATATGTAAAGAATTATAAATAACGCAATTTTGTATATAATTTTAAATTTTTCGTCCGTCATTTTGAAAATTTTTATTTTTATTCGTGATCTATGGACCTATAAAAGTGACATTAAAGTTTATGAATATAAAGATATAAAAAAGATTTTATTATTCAAATAGAAAATTATTTGTTATCACATAAAAATTGAAATATTTTATAAATATGAACAAGATTTTGTCCAAAACCAAATTAACAATTAACTAAACAATTTGGAGTTATATGAGTAATTTGCCGATTTTATTGAAACTCAGTACATATTTTTATAGAGCAATTAAATTATTTAATACTTATTATTAATTACACTTAATATAAAAAATTACTATTTAACTTTGATTTAAATTCTTAACTTACAAATATTTAGGAATTAGATTAATTTAGCTTAACTAAAATCTAATTAGAGATAAATTATTGTTGATAATTCAACAGAGATATATAAAATTTCTAGAAATATATAAAATTAATTTATTAATAATATTATTAATACATTTATGTATTTGTTCATATTTTATTTAAAGCTTACATAATTTTTTTAATATCTTTGTAACGGTACGTCCCTACGCGCTCAGGTTTTATTCCTGAGCACGGACGCGGAAACGTGCGCTCGGTTATCGCTCGGTTATCGCTCGGATGCCGGGTTCGGGAGATGCGTTGCGGCCGCCGGGCTTTAATTAATTTACAGTAATTCGTGACGCCTCTCGCTGCGCGGTCGTTCGTTGTCGTTTTCTCCGCCGGTCACTTTGCGATGCTCGTAACGCGATTCGATTGCGGGTATGCCGGACGCCGGGAATCGTATCGGTAGCGTGTTGCCAGGCAACCGGGTCCGCGCGTGTGCGTTGCTAGGCAACCGTTGACGCTGGCCGTGACACGTGGGGCGGATGTCGCGGGAAAGTCCGAGAACGCTCCGACTTTCGAGATGAGATGGAGCGACAATACTGAGAACGCTCGGTATTGTCGTGAGGAGGAAAATCTGAGAACACTCCGATTTTTCCCCAAAAGGGAGGAACAAGAATATCGAGAACACTCGGTATTCGTTGCGGAGCGAGAAAGCTGAGAACATTCCGATTTCTCGAGAAAGGATAGAACAGGATAGAAAGGATAGAATACGGAGAACGTTCGGTATTCGTTGAGAGAATCGTCTCTCGTTGTTCTGGTCGGAACGATTTTTTGTGACGGACAGGTCAGAGGAGCGGATAGGACTGGTTTTTTTTCCCAAAATTTGTCGGGTATTTATACCCGTGTCCGCGCCACGTGTCACCGTTTAGTTGATTAACGTTTGTTAAGAAAAATAGCTGATCACGTCGTCGATGCGTGATAGCTCGCCGGCGCGCGTGTGTCGGTTGGTCGCGGTCTGGAGTGTTCGGGCGGCCTCGGATGGTGCGGGCCGTTTTAGCGTGCGCTAGTAACGGAGCATCTTTCGGATGCTCCGTTACATCTTCAATATTATATTTTAAATTTATATTTAAGTTGATAAAGTAACTTTAAAGTAATTATAAAATTATAAACAACTAAAAACATATAAATTTTAAAGTAATAAATTTCTATAGTTCTTTTTACGCCATTTTAATTAAAAATTTTAACCACTTTTTCCTGAATTATAAATATTTAACTCCATTTGATTAATTGATTGATAGATTCATAAGTGAACTAAATTTAAATAACTTGTAGACATTAAAAAAATTTTATAATTAATAAAAACTACTTATTTTTTTAAAATTTGGTAAAATTGTTATTATTTTAATTTCAAAAATTAAGGATATTACATATTATATTAATATTAAAAAAAAATACTCAATTTAAGAGCATCCACTCTAATTCTTCAAATTATTAAAATTATTATGGAAAAGTTTATCATTTGATCTTTCTTAAATTTTAATATTTTAAATATATAAAGTATATGTGTAACTAATCGAAATGGATAAAAAACTATAAATAAAAGGAAAGATAATAATATCACAACAAACTTACTTTTTATAAAAAAATAAAAAAGTCGCCAAGTATACGTGAAAGATTATTACATAAAAGTATTACTTTTTCATGGAAAAAAAGTTTTCAATTACTGACGCAAATTATAGTAGGGAGGGGGTGGAACAAATTGTTTTCAAACATATACTTCAATACAAAGCGAGGTTCCATATGGGTTTACAACTTTCTGCACGAAGTTCAATTCAAATCTATATATTGATACACTGATAAAAATTAACGTATTTTTTAAACTTTTTCGTATGTAACTTTTTAATAAACATTAACTATTGGTTAAACTTTTTGATTGTTATTCAGAAGAGTATTCTTGATAATATATGTTCGCGTCCAAGATTCGGAGCTATGTCCCCTAATGTAAAAATTTACTAACATTTATATAAATATATCTCAAAAACTATACAAGACCGCCAGTTAAGTTATAATAATACTTGAATTAAAATAGAAAAATTCTTGGATGCAAAGATATGTGTCGAATTTTATTTTATTTTTTAAAAAGATTGAACTTTCCAGATAATGTAACTTGGCGCCACTTTTTGATATAAAATCTTTATACAAATAATATATATTATTACAGGTGAGTATTATATATTATTTGAACATCAGTAAGATGACATAATTTTGTAATATAATATTTGGATCTTTGGTGCAAAGATATGTACTTGAGTTTTCACATACACGCTGCGCGTACACTTGGCGTACTTTTTTTTACTTTTTTATAAAAAGTATTTGTTTGTATTAAAAAGTATTTTGTTGTGTTAAATATTTTAATAAATAATATTTAATTTTATAAATAACATATACTTACATTTTTTTGCTACCTAATTATAATATGATGATATATCTTGTACATAACTGTAAAAATAAAAAGTTCTCGGCTGCAAAGAATGAATATGAATCTTGAGTTTATTTTTTTAAAAAGATATAATTTCCGTCAATAATTGAAAAACTTTTTTCCATTAAAAATAACACTTTTATATAATAATCTTTCACACGCTGCGCGTACACTTTGCGACTTTTTTACTTTTTATAAAAGTAAATTTGTTGTAATATCATTTATTTTGTTGTGTTAAGTATTTTATAAATAATTTATAAATAATATATATATTTCCATAAATCTTTACATTAGGGGACATAGCTCCGATGACCTTGATCTTGATATATGTTATAGAGGTGAGGATACTGATCATCTCTTTCTTATATTAGATGTACAAAAAAGTTCTGAGTCTTTTTTTTTATAAAATTCAATCTTTATTCAAAAACAAACAAAAAAATATTAATCAACAAAATATTCTCCGTTTGCATCAACGACCTTTTGCCATCTTTCGGATAGCTTGCGAATTCCTTGATGATAGAAGCTCACCGGCTTCGAAGCGATAAAGTCATCAATGCATTTTCGTATCTCTTCAAATCTCACGAAATGTGTATCAGCCAAATGATGCTGCAGCGACCGGAATAGGTAGTAATCGGAAGGCGCCATGTCTAGGCTATACGCCGCGTGCGGGAGAAGTTCCCAGCCTAACGCAAAGATATGGTCCTGTCGCCTGAGTCGCTGATCCTGAGTCGCTTTCGCAACATGTGGTCGAGCATTGTCATGAAGCAAGATCATTTTACGACGTCCTTGACCAGTAAATGGTCTCTTTTCTTCTAATGCATCGCTCAAATTGGTCAATTGTTATTGGTAGCAGTCTGCCGCGATTGTTTCACCCGGTTGTAACAACTCGTAATACAACACACCTTTCCAATCCCACCAGATACAGAGCAAAATCTTCTTGGCGTGGATATTGGGCTTTGGCGTCGATGTCGAAGGTTGACCAGGGTCAATCCATGATTTTTTACGTTTAGGATTATAAAGAATCCACTTTTCATCGCCTGTAATGATTTTGTACAGAAAATTTTTTTTCCGGAACTTTGAAAGCAAAATGCAGTGTCACGCCGACGATTTTTGTTGTCTTCGGACAATTCATGCGGAACCCATCTGCCTTCGTTCTGAACCTTTCCCATCTTATGTAAACATACGGAAATGGTTTGCTGCGTAACGCCAAGCTGTTCTGCAAGCTCCTTTTCAGTTTGCGCAGAGTTTATATCCAGCAATGTTTGCAATTCGTCCGTTTCTTTTGAGGGCGTCCAGCACGCAGTTCATCTTCAAGACTGAAATCTTCTTGGCGAAATTTTTAATACCATCTTTTACATGTAGTATGACTTGCAGCGTTCTCTCCATATGCAGCACAAATCATTGCAGTGGTTCAGCAGCATTTTTCTTCAGATGAAACGCGAAGTGGATGGAAAATCGAATATGTTCTTTTGTTATTGCCATCGTGAACACTACTGATTTTTGAGGTTATGTGCATCAAATGCCAAACCGTATGGCATTTTAGAAAGCCAAATGTCAACGCTTTAAAACCGCAAAAGGGCGGGAAGATATATAAAATTGTTTAAATTGTTTTTTCGATTGTATGAAATCTAAAGCTCAGAACTTTTTTGTACATCTAATATATTATAAAATTATATAATTATTTCTAAAAAACATGATATAAAAAAATGACCCAAACTTTTAATTCTATAAAGTAGAAAAGAAATTTTGCAAAGGTGAAAAAAAATGTTATCAATCCAAAATAATGTCAATTTGTAATTGCCAAAAAATTTTATTGAATTATTATACTTGTGTTTATATAAAAATAAAATATAAAATATAAAAGAAAATCTGATGTGTAAGAAAAAAAAACGACATATAAAAACTTGGCGCGCCCGAGTCTCTTGATCCCCTTTTTTTTATCTTTTTCTAAAAAGGTAATTAGAAGTTACTGAAAAAAAGAGAAATCACGTTGAATCGAGATTTTCTAAAAAGTGATATATTTATGTTGAAGAGAATCTTGATAAATTTACAATCAAGTTCTCCGTTGTTTCAATCTCATATCATTCAAGTTTCTCGTTTGTGTTTCCAAGAAGATTCTCGAAAGAAGAAGGGATCTCGAGATGAACAAGACGAATGGAAATCTTGAAAAAGAATAGAACGTGAAATGAAAGCGGATGTCGCCGAAAAGAACGAAATCCATAAAAGAAATGCGCAGTCAAGAGGCTTTGAAAGGTCGACGGAGGGTTAGTCGGCCAATTAAAATAATGTAGAGAAATCTCTAAAAAGCTCTTTCAGAAATCCAGGAAGCTACCCACCATCTTATTTCCTTTCAGTTTCTTCAGCTTCCGAGGGAAGAAAATTTCCTATGGTATGTTTTCTTCGTACCATAATTTCAATTCACTTTTCGTTAACAATATTAATTTTATAAACATTAATTACGTCTATAGCTTGTTTGAACAAATTTTAAGAGCCCTTGGTAATGAAAATCCGATGGTAAGCCATTGTATATAACTTTCTGATATTTAATATTAAATATGTCAAAAGTTTTATTTAATAATTTATTTTCTTTTAAGTGTTACGTCCAACCCGAGGTAAATATATTTTTATATATTTTTTTTTTAAATGGATGAGGCTTGGAAAGACGCTCCAAATACCCTCTCGCAGATGGGCGCGCTGAGGCGTCCCTACGAGTCGGACACACTGTGCAGAGCCACGAGTGCGAGTCAACGTCTTGAAAAAGACGCTATGACTTCGACTGCGTGACGTGCATCCGTCGGTCCGTAATTTAGGCAAGAAAATTTAATCTCTTTTGCCAGGGACAGGACCATGCGCGAATCTTAGGATAACGAGAAATGAAAGAGGGAGCAAATAACTAAACGATAAATAATTTAAATTTTACAATGTAATTAATAATTTTAAAACGATTACAGGGTTAGGTAGCTACAAGATCGTATCATTATTTTTTGCGTTGAAATATATTTACTGACGATATATTTACAAAAATATAAAACAAGAAGGGTGTTACGTACAGAAATTCGTGTGTTCTAAAAATTGACGGATGTATTATTTGGTTTTCTGTGTATAAATTCTATTAATCTATTAGTTTAGTATTTTTAATCTGTTATTAATCTATTTTAAATTTGTATGTTGTTGTCTGTGTGTGGTTGTTTCTGAGAGGAGGTCGCTAGTGAGGTCTAGGGGAGGAGGGGAAGGAGTCCGTAGTTCGCAGAACTCGTCCAAGGATTTTTGGGTGCGGAAATCTGGATATATCTGGAGGTCATGGCGCTCTGGGAAGAGTACACTGAAATCTGGGGGTGATCCAGGTTCAGCTGGTTTGATCGGGGAATAGGATGGAGGAGATATGTGTAAATAATGTGTAAATAATGGGGTCTCCTGCTGGAACAACTCGTGGTTTCTTGATGTGTCAAAACCTCGGATGTTCTAGGCAAAGGATAGTTCCTGATTGACGAGCTCGCTTGTTCCGATGGTAACGGAGCCTCTTCAGGGCTCGCCTCCGCCTTTGAGCGTCGGAGAGAGTGGATGATGCAGCTTTCACTAAAAGAAATGGATTTGGAATATGAAGGAAATGTCATTAGTCGCGAATCTTAAGGCTATCTCTGAAATATTTCAGGAAACCGAGAGATCCGATAGAGGAGAGAAATTAAAAGGGAAAGAGAAAATTGTAAGAGAGGAGAGAAAAAGGAAAAGAATAGATTTCCCGAATTACTCGGCAGCCAGGAACCTGCTGAGTGCTCCGCAACGCATAGGGAGCCCGAGAGGTTCGACGGCCCAAGCAAAGAAAGAAAGAGAAAAGAAAAAGAAAAAGGGAGTAGAAGTGTAAGGAGAATGGCAGAGGATAGAAAGGATGTAAGAGAGGAATGAGAAAGTATAAGGAGAAGAGAAAATTATTATTAGAGAATTTTTACGTGTAATTAAACTTATTTTTACTCTGGAGACTTGAGACCTGCGAGATGAAGGCAGTAATGGTGTCGTTAGGAAACTTGATCACTTGTACTTGTTGATTATTTTCGACTGACACCGACTGAATTATTGACAAACTGATAAACTGAAAATGTTCCGACCGTGTGAAAAAAAGGACGTAGCAGAGAGTGTGTGTTCCGTTTGTGTTGCCTTTAAGGGCACTATATATATATATATGATTTCGTTGAGGAAAACATCTGTACACGTGTTGTTTTTCCGATTAGGATAATAGGGATTATCCGCTTAGCCAAATTCTTAGTAACCGACTCCCGGAAGAGATCAGTTGCGTAGCCGTCGCGATCGTAACAGAACATGTGTCATCCGTTTATCCGCTTAATTAAATTCTAATAACTGATACCCGAAAGAGAAGAATCGTGCAGTCGTCACGACGTAACATAAGTAAAATGGAAAAATTGTTAAAATAAAATCTATTTAAGGGAATGATTAAAATAAATTGTTTTATTTTATTTATCACAAATCAATTATAAATTCATACAGACAAGTAGGAGAAACAAATTTAAGGACAAAAATTCCTAAAATTTAAAATATTATAAAACTTATTAAAGCTTACTTTTAATGTTCGGTAATAATAAGTGATTAATTTTGATTAATTACTAATTGTATATGATTTATGAATTATTATTTTGAGTAAAAACAACATGAATTTTAAAAATTATAAAAATTATAATTATGAACTTACGTTTTATTTCTTTCTTCCAATTGACATCCTCCTCTCTTCTTTCTTTTCTTCTTATTCTTTTCATTTTCTTTATTCTCATCCTCATCTTCTTTCTTTTCTTGTTCCTCTTCTTCTTTCTTCATCTCTTCTTCACTTTCTGTTTCGTTTTTCTCTTCCTTTCTTTTTCTTCCTCCCTCAGATTTATCTTTGCATTGACATCTGTATGATATATTTAATTAATATATATGTGTAATCTTAATATATACTACAATATCTAATACTACTAATATCTAATCTTAATATATTACAATAAATTGAGAATGACAATGATAGCCATAGCCCCAATGAGTAGAATGTCTAATAATCGATGCATAAGACAACTTTAAAATATCTTTAAGAATTCTTTAAGAAACATCTTTAAGATATTTCATAAAGAACTCTGAAAGATATCTTGAAATTATCTCATGCGTCGATTTTAGATATTCTGTTCACTGAGGCATCTCTCGAGTTATATATTTTCTACAAATATTGCAAATTTAATGCTTATAAAGATTTTATTCACATTTGTGATGAAAATAACATATATTATAAAAAATAAAACATATATTAAAACATATATTAAAAAATTTAAAAGCGTTCAATTTACGTTTTATTTTTTTTTAACTCTTTGCCTTTTGTTACGTTCAGACCCCGAAATAATTATTTAAGGATTAAAGGGAGGATGCACCGCATCTTCTCGCAGATGGCCGCTCTGAAGCGTGCCTGCGAGTCGGACGCACCGTACAGATCAGCTGGTACGGATCAACGTCTTGAAGAAGATGCTGTGACTCCAATTGTGTGACGTATGTCCGTCAGTCCGTTAATTTAGGCAAGAGAATTTAATCTCTTTTGCCAGAAATAGGATCATATGCAATTCCCAATTGTGGGCGAGAACGAGCATGACGAAAGGATTAAATTAAGAGTGAATAAATCAATTTAATGTTAAACTAAACATTTAATCAATTAATGTAAAAATAACAAACAATACGAGATTACAATACAAAAATATTTAAGAATAAAAGAGGAAATGATACGCAGAATGATCAAAACGGTACATAATGGTAAACAATCCTAATTCTATCGAATGATTGCATGTGTGTGGAAGAAAAAATGTATGTAAGTATAGTTCGCGGATGTTACATAAGTGCGGAGGTCATAACAATCGGGCATAGCAATTTGGGATAAAACTCTACGTTAAAATATTTAGGGTCATGCCCGATTTTAAGATAAATAAATAAAAATAATGGAATAATTTAATAAAACATTTATGTAAGTGTAAAAATGTTTAAACTTTAAGCACGGTAGGTTCAGAAAGGTAAGTGAAGAGATATGGCGGAAATGGGAAAGGGTTGATATTTAAATTGTGATGGGTAAATAATAGATAATAATCCATGCGACTTACTACTGCGAAGAATATCATTGCAGGTGGCCACTCCAAAAAAGGTGTCAGGGTCGAGGTGTAGGCAGCAGTCAGTGCTTGGCAGAGTGCTCCTGGGTTTCTACAGCCGATGATGAGGAGTCAGGCACAACGCGGAATAAAAAATTGAACACTCCCGGTTATAATAAAGATTTGACATAAATTAAAAGTAATATTTTGGAAGAAGTTTTGAATTTGTTCTAATTTAACCGGCCCGTTCTAATTTAATATTAAGAGTAAAGAAATTAAATCTTTCCACGCTTATTTAATGAAAGCAAGAATCAAAAGCAAGAGTGCGCACGAGAATGCGGACGAAAATGTGCGCGAATGTACAAGAATGTGCACTTCCTTTGGGGAAGTTCGTAATAAATAGTTATCGCGGGGGTGGGTCTTCGGTTCTGAAATTAAAAAAGTCTCACTGGTCTCTGACGAATAGAGATTAGCGATTCATTAGGGATGTGGGGACTTAGCCTATCATAGATCTGAATTTTGAAAAAAATGAATCTAAAGGAGAGGATTTCAGGGATGATAATAAGGTAGTGCGAGTGTCTGTATAGTATCTTAACATTTCTAACTAAACAAGTGGTCGGAAGGTATAAACAAACTGTCGTCACGAAGATGGCTATTCGGATGCGTAGCGTGGAAAAAAAAACAAATGTCTACTTTGGCAGTTTATGGGGCTTTCCGTCGTCGCTAGTGCACTAAGTGTTTCTTTACGTTTAGGCATAGTTTGCATATGGCTGCCAATTGTTATTTTAGTTCGGTTACAGTTCGGTCGGATTTTTATAGTTTATTAGTTTGAAAAGTGAAGCCTCAACAGCCTGAGGTTCACGTATTCGGCAGACTGGCGGAGCTTGAGCTCTTAAGAAATTATCTTAGTAACGTAAGTTTGTAACGGAGCGCATCCCTCCGCTTCGTTCCTCCTCCGATTTTCCCACGACCGACCATCCGTCGGGGACCGCCGAACAACAGGCAGAGTGCGGTGGTCGCAAGAGGCATTTATGACTCCTTTTTTAATCATTACAATATGCGAACTCCGAAGCGTCGCAGAATACCACGAAAATATGTCTGTTTTCGTGATATTTCCTCGCACCGCGCCACGCGTCGCGCCATCAAGCGCTAGCGCACCCCGCGCCGCATCACGCACCGTACCACCGAGCGTAAATGCGTCCCGCGCCGCACCGACGCCGCGCCACGCAAGCGAGCGAGCATCCCGCACCGTGCCACGACCGCGTCTACAAGCGCGTGACCACCCCCGCACCGCGCCGTTACCTTCCCACCGAATTCCTTCCCTACTCTTAAACATCCCCCGCTCCTATTCCTTATAATCCCCAAAAAACCAATTATACCCGATCCTTTTTTCCGCTCCTGGGGAGAAGGATGCTAACCCCGAGATCGACCAATCCGACCGATCCGACCGAAAATACCGAGATCGATCTCGGGTATAAAAAGGCATCGCTCTCCATAGGAAAGCACTCCTCGTTGACTCCTGTTCCACGCTCGTTTTCCGAGAGCACGTCTCAAGGAAGCGAGCATCCGAAATCGGTAGAAAACATGAGTTTTGTTGGGGCCCTCCCCAACGCGCCAAGTTCGCTTGGCCTGGCCGAAAGCCGTATCTCCGAATCTCTCACGGCAAGTCGAGAGCTGCTGGGGTGTCCCCAGCGTGTCGAGTTCGCTCGATCCGACTCCGCCGTTTCCTCTCCGAGCACCGGGGTACGCCCTGGTCGGCCGAGTACATTCGGCACCGACGCCTCTTTCTCCGCACACAACTGGGGCCCTCCCCGGCTGGCCGAGTTCACTCGGCACTCACTGAGACAGACGAGGGGTACACCCCCCGTCAGCCGAGCCCTCTCGGCAGGGAACAGGCCCACCCGTTCTCCGATCTAAACGATCCAACGACCTCGCAAATATCTCACCCTCGCGACAACGCCCGCAACACGCGTGCACGTTTTAAATCACCGCTGATTTAAAGGTCCGCGACGAACACGTGCGACACCGCCGCCGCCGCGCGCGCCACCGCACAGCGACCAATATCACGCCGACCGCCCGAGCAATACCTCATTTGTATCAAAACAATATACGCGCGCCGATCGCCGTCTCGCCCGTCCACGGCCACGACCATTCGCGAAGATCGGTGCATTCCATCGCACCCCCCACTGTTATTCCTTTATTTGAATAAATCATTGTCATTTCTTATAATTATCGCCTAACAACTTGATAACCAAATTTCTGTCTCCAACGTCCTCGCTTCCTCCTCCTGGTAACGACTGACTGCTCTCCGCGCGGGAAAGCGAGACCATTTTAAGTTTATTATTTAAAGTGACTTTTACAATGCATCGGAGCTCGCGCATTCGCTCTGTAAAAGAAAGAATTGTGGAGTCCACTGAACATTTCTAACACCTTTCTTTTCTAGTCTTTTTTCCTTTTCTCTTCTCTTTCTTCCTCTTTATCCTTTCTTCATCCTTTCCATCTTTTTCTGTTTTGATTTCTCCATCTCTTTCTTCTAATTCACTCTCTTCTTTCTCTTCTATTCTCTTTTTTCTTCTTTCTCCTTCCAAATCTTCTTTTTTATTTTGCATTCTGACCTATATTATAAATTTAATTAATATATGTGTGTAATTTTAATTTATGTTACAATAAATGTAGAATATTATTATAATCACATAGCCACATTACTCGTAAGATATATAAAATCGGAAAAAAGTTTTAATGAAAAAAGATTGGCAATCAATCGCAAAGTTTACGATCTTGCTCGTGTATTAAAATGATGCGGTTAAAGTAGATATTTTTATAAATAAATAAACATTGACAATTTTATTTTCTGAATATATCATATATTAATACGAGAATAGTCTGAAAAGTTTTGAGCCTTAATATGATGTTACTCGTCAAAACCATTCTAGTACTACAATAGTATATGCTTTGAAAGATTTTTGTGAAAATTTCAGCCATTTTGGACGCTCAGTTGTTGTCTGACAGTTTGTATCAGTCGATGTCAGTGTTTTTATAAAAATGGAAAAAATTGAATATCGTACCGTGATTAAATTCTTACATTTAAAAGGCAATACGCCTGCGCAAATTAAAATCGAGTTGGACTGTTTCGGTGGCTCGAGCCATGCTTAATGCAATCTCTCCTGTCGTGCTCCTGGAGGATTATTTGTATATTTGCCAATGGCGTTGGAGGGTGTCGCCGTTGCAGTCCGAGCTGCATCCATCAAGAGAATAGGACTATCATCTCTCTGGAGTACCGGTCGTATTCCGAGGATTCGAAAG